AAACCGAAACTATTGGTACCAAAGAGCTTGTATTTCCTTCTATTTCAAAAATTTGTTCGATATCACTTATACCGCTGCCACCATGTTTAGTTATCGATGGGGTTTAAGCATTAATAACTAGTATCAACGTATAACGCCGGAGTTGAGAAGGTGAACTTCTCTGGAGGTGCCACGTGCATCGAGAGGTTAGAAACCGAAACTATTGGTACCACAGAGCTTGTATCTCCTTCTATTTCAAAAATTTGTTCGATATCACTTATACCGCTGCCACCATGTTTAGTTATCGATGGGGTTTAGGCATTAATAACTAGTATCAACGTATAACTCACTTCCAGACAAATGTATTTCCGCTGTTTCATTTTCTCAGCATATTCAGCGGCCCCACCAGATGTTTGCGAAGTTGAATTGAGATGAGAGCGAGCCGAAATATCAACACAGGTGAAGTCCCAAACATGTAAATGTTTTGAATGAACAAATTTTCTCAAATAAAGTTTCTACTATATCTATCATATCCATCAAGTATTTTCAATATGCTCTCTCCCCGATCTTGGGAAAAAAAACAGTGTAATGATGAAATTCGAATGTTTATTCATCAGGAACAAGAATATAAAAAAATCTTATAATAGGTCTATCCATTAAGTATATCATTCGGTTACAGAATCTAAAAGAACTTAATTTGTATAAAAATAAAATACACATTACAAAAAAAAATCATATTTACAATCATAACGTCATGGGTCACATGTGGTCTAAGTACTGTGGGTCTACACTCACACTCCCTACTCTACAGATACAGATCATAACGTTTTTACGTCAACATTATATGCTCCAGAACGCACTAGTTGCCGTAAAAACGACAATTGATACAGTGAAAACAGTAGTATCACATTTCAAGAGAAGTTCAAAGTCCACGAGTAAACTGATTAAACTCCAAGAGCATGAAGGAGTAGCACTAATTAAATTGATCCAAGATGTGGTTACAAGATGGAATCCCACATTTTATATCATTGATAGGTTCATCGAGTTAGAGGAAGTAGTTCGATCGACAGTTGCTATTCTCGACACAGAGGTGCGGCAGTTGAGTTTGAACGAATGGCAAATTTTTAAAGAATTGAAAATAATATTGAAACCATTTGAAGAAACCACCAGAGCAGTGAGTAGTCAACAATACATAACTGCTTCATTAGTTATTGTAATAACTGGCAATCTTATCGATATCTGCCATGAATTACTGAAAGATACAACCATGTCACCAATCGCAAAAACTTTCATTAAAAAATTGGAAAATGGGCTCATAGAAAGAGTGGGCAACGTTGAGTACAGCAATACTTTGACAATGCGTACTCTCTTGGATCCACAGTATAAAACGCATTTCTTCAAAAATCAGGATGCGAAGAGCGGGTTCGTAAAAATGTTATGGCATCTTTAGCAGATTTAATCACAAAACAAAAAGACTAATCTAACAATTTGTTTGAAGGTGATTGACAATGTTTCATGATGAATTTCATTAGTTCGGACTTCCATTGTCTGATATTATATAAAAAGTATTAAAAAATTAAAGAAGAAGAGTAAAAATAAAAAGCTGAAAAAACAGTTATATTAAGCAAAAAACCTATTTCACTATTGATTCATTTCAGGTTTTTTGCTTAATATAATTGTTTTTTCAGCTATTCATTTTTATTCTTCTTCTTTAATTTGTCAATTCTTCTTTTATAAGTTATTTCAGGGATTTCAAATCATTTTATATAATATCAGACAATGGAAGTCCGACCTAATGAAATTCAAGAATCTAACAAAAGAGGTGTTCATGAAAACAAATATAACGAGCCTAAAAGCACGAGCTCAGATGCAACCAAACCGACTCTCTCGATATGGAAATCAGTAGATGAGATTGCAGCTGAACAGAGCAGTAAGACGACTTCAAGATCATTTCCTCCAGAGCTATGGAGTTCAGCGGTACGTGGAAGACAATATCATTGATAGGAAAAGAGATACGCTCCAGTGGTGCAAAGACAATGAACATTTATACCCAAGTATGAATCATTTATCTAACTGAAATGTTGCGCAGTAGTCACCTCAGTACCCTGCGAGAATTTTTTTTCAAAAGCTGGCAACATTCTTAATGAGCGTCGCAACAGGCTGAGCTCACAAAAACTTGAACAATTATTGTTCTTGAATTACAATAGCCAATTCAACTGATAATTATGTTTATTACAGTTTGTTTTGATTCAGAGATATTTTAAGTTTTCATTTATATAAATTATAAATAAGATATTCAGTTCCTATGATTTATGTCTAGCAAATAATATTCATTTTTGACTGTGATATTTTTGTTCAGTTTTGTTTTAATTTTCAAATATGTATCGAGTCTTAAATATATTGGACAAACACTTATGTTGCTCCTATAATTAATGTTTCATTTTTTCATTCCATCAAATCTGAGCTTATTTGCGTGCTAATGGCAATACAAAGCGATTGATAGTTGTCACTGTTCATCCGTATCTGCCATTAGTGTATATAGTTTTTCCGTTCCCGGCCTTCGCTTGGTTAACGCTTCACTCAGCGACTGTGACCGACAACAAGTCTCTGCATGTTAGTGTCCAGTGCAGCCGAGAGCACAGGCCACAGAGCAGTTCCGTCATCCAGTTCCAGCACCAACCTGCGCAAGCGTCTTTGGAATATCCACTCACCGTCTGAACAAGTTCAGTTCATTGAAAAAAACAGGTTCACTGAACAGTTGACTGATACCTGTTCCGAAAAACCAGTTCGGTTCTTTTGGTCCCATCTCTAAAACACGCTTACTTTTTTGGAACACTCCAAAAAAGTTGACGATCTGTATTTTATAGATATTTTCATTGACAATACTCTTTTGAAATATCATGAATCGTTCCAACATCAGAGGTCCAATCGAGACTGACCTAGCGAGCTCAATCTTCATATCCCTTTGCGAACTTTACTTTTTCAAAGCTCGTTTATGCAACGAACGGCATAGTTATTGGAACTCTCTGCCTCGGCAGTTATTGCCTGAGGGATACAGCCTGCAAAAAATTGAAAAGAACAGCAACTCCTACCTTCATTTCGTCGGCATTCACAATATTCCCCGATATTACTGCATTTTTTTTTCGTGATATGCAGAACATAAAATAAATTAAATTGACTTGACGGTCATTAGTCAGCTTCTATTTTATATCATTCCGGGAATATTTCCATATATCTGAAAAATGTTAGGCCACTTCTCCTGTTCGAACAAAACTGTAATGTCGATAGTTCAATATTTTCTTAAATCATAGGTATTTCGCGAATTCCAGCACGCACATCAATATCGCACATCGTCAAAGTTGTAATAAAATGTATTTCCCTTTCAACGTTCACGGCAACTTTTTTCTATCGCGAGAAAGTACGATAAAATCAGTTCAGACGTTTCGTTACTGAACAACCATCATCAGTTCAATTCATTGATGATATGCAATAAAAATGATAATATGGATAATAATAATAACAATAATTTTCGTTACTGAATGGGCTATGATCCGAACACTGTTCGCACTGTACTAGCCGAGCTAGTACTCTTTTAGCAGAAAGCTCATATAAAAAACAATCCCAAAGGAAAATTATACTTATAAGAAGCAATTGATGACGAAAATATTGTTCAAAAGAGGTGTAGAGATAGATAGTTAGCGTAGCTTTTGAAAGCTCGAGAACTGAATGGACAGTTCAAATGGTTATTCTGTATATTTCAGATTTCAAAATGGATAACGAATCTACAAAGACGTTTGAAGTGTATGCTGAAGAAGATTTCAAACGAAATGAAAATACAAATTCTTCAGACACAACTTCCACATCCTGTGAAAACAACTTTGAGATGGTTGATTCCTACGTATATTTTCCCGGATTTTGAGAAAAATAAAATAACATAAAAGGAAGGTTGTCACAGACATCGGTCGTAAATATTTCACTCCGCGATGAAAACAATATTTTAACAAATCTTATTTCTGCTGCTGAACGTGAATTCGAAGGATCGAATGATATTCAGTTGCCTGTTTCAAATAAGGAATCGTTTCCAAGAATACTATAGAGAATTTTGGATCAATTCAAGAAACTAGTGTCACGCCGAATATCAGTTTCTCTCTGGACACAATAATTCTGAGCAGCATCCCTAACATAGTCTCCGAAGATCAGGTTAATTTCATCGAACAATAACCCAATGAATCATCTGACAAGTTCACAGATATTTCCAATGTAGTTGAAGTGATGGATATATCAAATATATTTCCGTTCAAGCCAGATAGCTCAAACGTTGCTACAGATGAATCAATAATCAAGAGCATTAGTAGCGGATAATCTGTAATTATTCCACCACTGAAACAGATTCGTTTTCATTTCATCCCCCAAGAATCAAAAAAAAAAATAATTCCAACCCAGATCGATATAAAATTCAAAATCACTCTTCATTTACTACAAATGATGGGTGTCATGATGAGAGCCAAAATATCAACTCCAACTTCTGAAAATTCCAAGTACCTAATTATAAATTCATGTTCCTCTCCCTTGGTTGATGGGTTCAACAGAAAAACAAACAGACAGACACACACATTTGCTTGATTTCATATTTTTTTCACCTTTCAACTTTTTTGCTAGGTCCCTCACGTTTTTCTTATGGATTCTTCAGATAACCCAACTCATACGAGGTCTCTTCGTTGCCTAATATCGGAAAATGATATCAGTAAGTAAGTAGGTAAATCAGTTTTGTGTTATTGCGTTCAACGGTTCGAAGTGATTTTTGGAACTCATCAAAAAGGTGAGTTCAACGGTTCGAAGTGATTTGGAACTCATCAAAAAGGTAAGTTCTTCATTGAAATATTGAAATATTGAAATCACAAATGAAATATATCATGTAGGGTAACTGACCCAGTAATGGACACTGTACCAGTAATGGACACTTTTTTCAACACTGAAGAAAACCTGAAAAAAGCGATAGAAGCAGTAAAAAATGGCACAAGTAAAAAATCTGCCTCCCGGGAGTTTAATGTTCCCCGCTCGACACTTACACGGAAAATGGCTTTGCTTACTTTACCTCATAGAAAAATGGGTCCAGCAACAGAGTTATCTGAAAAAGAAGAAAAAGTTATTGAAAACTGGTTACTAACAATGGCTAGAAAAGGTTTTCCAGTTCACAAGCAAAATATTATTCTGTCAGTTAAAAAAATAATCGAAGAAACAGGACGAGAAACAAAATATTTACTCAATAAAACACCTGGACGTTCCTGATTTGAAGAATTTCTCAAGCGTCACCCTAATATTAGACAAAAATATGCTGAGTCAGTCAGTAAGGCACGTGCTGTTGTAACTCAGGACAGAATTGAATCCTGGTTTGACGAAATTTCTAGCTACTTGAGAGAAGAAAACTATGAATGTATACTAAATGATTCCAGCCGAATTTTTAATGGGGATGAGGTAGGTTTTTCTTTGTGCCCTAAGAGTGGAAAAGTCTTGGGTCCTGCAAAGAACAAGGAAGATTTTTATGTTAGAGTTACATCTGAAAAAGAACAATTACCTGTAATGGCCACTTTTTCAGCAGATGGTAAATGTGTTCCTCCAATGATAATTTTTCCTTATAAAAGAGTTCCTCATGCCATAGCTGAATCAGTTCCAGAAAACTGGGGTTTAGGCAGATCTGATTCTGGCTGGATGACAGCAGAGGTATTTTATGAATATATTTCAAATCATTTTTTACCCTACCTGAAAGTCGAAAAGATTCAAAAACCTGTGATTTTATTTGTTGATGGTCATCGATCCCACTTAACCAAAGAAGTTAGTCAGTTATGTGACGAAAATGGTATCATTTTGATATCCCTTTTTCCGAACACAACACACATAATGCAACCAGCTGATGTTTCTGTTTTCAGACCCCTGAAATCTGGTTGGTCAACAGAAGTAAGGAACTGGAAATTTGAAAACTTTCCAAGAGAACTAACACGCTATACTTTTGGCACGATCCTCAAATTGGTTTTTGAATATGCTTCGGAAAAAACAATAAAAAATGGATTCAGAAAAAGTAGATTATTTCCTTTCGATAAAAATAATGTAGATTATACAAAATGTATACCTAACCGAAAATTATCTGTAAATTTTGATAAAAAACAAAATGTTAACAATACGATTCAAAAAACTACAGATTCATTTCTCAAAATAATAGAAAACCAATCAGAAGTGCATACAGCAAGTATGAATGAACTTATTCAAAATAATGAAAACGTCAACATAATTGCGAATATTTCTCCTGTTGCCGGTCCATCTACATGTCCTAACTGGAAGACCCCTGAAAAAAGAAATATTTTGTATTATGAGGACAAAGAAGATGAAGGCTTCAATGTACCCACACCGTTTAAGAAATGCCTAGTTATACCCACAAAATCAGAGGATATAAAAACCCCTAAACAAAAACGAAAAATATTTCCAGCTGTTGTGTCCAGTGAAAAATATAGAGAATTTTATGAAAAGAAAATAAATAAGAAAAAAAATGTTACGCAGAGGAAAAAAGCAAAAAGTTCCCATAAAAATGATGTTAACGAAAAAGAAGACACTTCAGATTCAAACATGGAAATTTCCTATGCAGATGAAGACCTTGATTTCAGTGAACCAGAAAATCTCATGTTGGCAGATGGGCAGTATGTTATAATTAAATATGAAGATAAATATTATCCAGGTAATAATAGTAACCAAGTGTTATTATATAAGTTACTCACTTTATTTTACAGGTGTAATCCTTAAACATGATTATGATGGCGCAGAAGAGCGAACTATGGAAAGTGCAGTTATTAATTCCTGGAAATGGCCTGTAAAAGAAGATGTGCTATATTATTTCAAAGAGGATATTATACTTACCATTAAAGAACCACAACTGAAAAATAATAGAGGTTGTTTTGATGTCCCTGGAATAAAGAAATTTGTTTAAAATTACTTTTTATGCACAGTGTCCATTACTGGCTTATTTAGGGTTCCACATGTCATGCCTCTGGGTCCATTACTGGCACATATGTATATTTTTCAATAAAAATCGATAACTAATTCAGTTTTATTATTTATGTATTTCAATCTCTTCAGTCGTATTCTGTATGAAAATAACATATACATGCAAATCATTACTTCACTTACTGTAGATTACGTATTTTTCATAAATGCCTAAACACAAAACTTTCTTAAGAGTGTCCATTATTAAGTCAGTCACCCTATGAAGAAAAAAGAGATGTGATACAAATTTATTACAAATACGATAGAAACAGTGTCAGGACATCGGAAATGTATTTAAATTTGTATCCCGAAAGACGACATGATAACATAACTGTGCCCTTCTTCGAATATTATTCACTGCACGATTAATTTACCTCCTCCTTTATCTTCCGAACTCTCTAACGATGCTGTGTTGAAGGCCCTCAATATTTTGATATTCCCTCTGACCATATATTTTTTAGTGTACCCCATAAAAATGTATCCACAACACTTAAGTCTGGAGACCTTGCTGTCCACCTCACCGGCCCATTATTCCCTATTCATTTATCACCAAACCTTTCGGTCAGGTAATTAGATACCTACTCGTCTGGTAGTGTGTAGTGGAGTCGACATTAAAAACGTGTGATAGGTTTCTCCATTCAGAATTCCGTCAAATAAATGAGGACCCAAAATTCTATATTTGTGAATTCCTGCTCACACGTTAATACTAAATCGCACTTGATGTCCCGGAACTGCCTGGGGTTGTTTATGCTCCAAATGTGTTCATTATTTCCGTTAAACATCCCACAATTCGTAAAAGTGCTTTTATCCTGGTCCATTCTGTCTCCGTAGTTTTTTCTCGGCTTTTCAAATGAACCAAACTCTTTGATCTAATAACTTGAACATAATTCGATGTGGTTGTCGTGTCTCAGGATACAAGTTTAAATACATTTCCGATGTTCTAACACTGTTTCTATCGTATTTGTAATAAATTTGTATCACATCTTTTTTTCTTCATTCGTGAAAGCCATTTTTCGCCGAAAATTCAATGACTTGTACAAACAAAATGTCATTGAGTGTAACAAATTGAAAGTTTAATTAAGAAACATCAAAGTCAAAGCCTATTATGATAAGAATTAATTTTTTTCAATATTTTCAATTTTTCGAAAGAGAATGGTAACTTATGATACATCATTGAAAAGGTAAAATCTGGTTCTATTCAAAACAAAAAGAATCCAATGTAGCGCCCATAAGAAAAAATGAAATAGATGATAGTGGCCGGAAAACGAAACGTAGGATAGCAAATTTGAAACATCATTAGGTATTTAGCAGGGAAAAAGTGGTAATGTGAAAGGGCAATTCATTCTCGAATCCTTCGAAAAATAAAGTTTCCGAAATTTCTGTTTTTTCCGGATATACTCGGAATTTCAGAACTTTATCAACGGCATATTGTTAATCAGGCAAATGCGCAGCTTTGTCCCAGTTTAATCATCTTCGTATCTCTCATAGTTTCCGAGATCCCAATGGTGATGATCGAATTTGAAACACCCTGTATATCAAAGAGTCATATACGTATCGGAGCCGACACGTAGTTTTGAGATCAGATATGTCAATGGCTTTGGTATGTGAAGGTTTGCAAGGACTGGAAAGAGTGGGGAACCCATGGGGCGTCTTTCACTTGTTTGGTAAAATTTGCCCTGAAAAAGAAAATAGGTGCATGACATGTAATAGCTGATGAGGTTGAGTGTCTTGGAAAATTTGTTGTTTCGTTTTGAGGATGAACAAGGTTTTGGATAGTGGGATATTCTACGTCACAGCTGATAATAAGCTATTTGTTGGATATTGAAGGATTTCAGGATTTAACTGAAGTGATAAGTAATTTTGGACATAAGATGGGGACTGTTCAGCTAATGGTTGGAGAGTATTAGCCAGGTGTGTGGAAAGGGCGTGTGTGGGGGATCCGAGGGTACTGACGATGGGACGAAGTGAAGTGTTTGGTTCGTATATTTTCGAAAGACCATACTTATATACGAGGTGAACGGCAAGATTTCTCTATAGGAAAATAAGATTTCTTCTTGTCAGCGGGAATGTTAGAGTTGTTGAGGTTGTGGGATCTCTGGTTGTTGATTGGTATTCCGTAGAGGCGAGTAATATCGTCATCATATCTATGTAGTCGTTGATGTTGAGTATTACAGATGTGTATAATCATTCAGAAATGTCATTATGTCAAAAGTTTGGAATTTCTGAGTGCTTGACCTTTTTACTTTTAGTTGGTAAGACGATTAATACTAATATTTTCTGCCATACCGTGTTAACTAAATAGTAAATCATTCCTGTTTACACAAGTGCCTAATAACCGAAAGTGAGAGTATCTTCATTCGATGGCCATTTATTATGTTATAGGTGTATGTAGCGCACTCTTTAGACAGGTAAGACATTATATTTCTACACTCGTTATTGAATATATTTAAATTGCAATCTACCTGCAGAGTGCAGAGTTAATTTAGCAATTTGTAAATGTATGCCCCTATTCAATAACGAAAAACTATATAACCCATTAGTTACTCCAAGGATTTGTTTCATAAATCCTTCTAGTTTTTAAATGTTGCAAAGAATTTTTGCGTTTTGGGTGATACATAATTTTTTCCAGACACAACACTCCGAATCACGAGCAGGAAATTTTTTGAAGAGTGGGTTAAGTTTCCCAAAAAAAAAACTCCAAAACCAGTTGCTGAAACTTATTCTTACTTCCGCTCAAATTAATAATAAACAAGATGTGGAGTTTAGGTCTTTGAAAATCAGAATTTCCCGTCTTTCCGGCAAAATTTCGGAAAGGTGGAACAAATGTGACAGAAAACTGAAAGATTTTCTCACTTGAGACTCTGGCTTGATTCAGGTGACTTAGATTTTAGTATTTTAGTTATCCAACCTACTTGTCAACGCTCAAGACGCCCTGAAATATGTTTCAAATGTTTTAGTGAGAAAACACAAAAGAAAAGAAAAGTCAGCGAGTTATTGCAGGTAGACTGTGAAAAATTGTCTTTCGCAGCACGGTACTTGCTTTGTTTCTGGTAAGCGTGGTGCTATCAAAGTTGTGAAAAGGCATCTACCTCTACAAAAAAGTCGACCTCGACCAACATTCAACGTTTTTCCCCTCAAGAAGCTTTGGCTCTCTTTTTCAACTGCAATTTAACAAAGGCTTCATATTGCTTGCTAAGACAAAAAGCGAATGAAGTAGGTCACGATTTAAATCCCCCCTACTACAAGATTATAACATGTCAAAAAAGCTTGTTTTCTGGAAGAATATAACAATTACCGAATGTAGGCTATGTGAACTGCAACATCCTGTATTAAAGCAACTAGTTGATAATAGTATCCATTAATATAATTTATTCAGCAAATGGGGTTGCGATGGAAGTGAGGGACAGAGCAAATACAATCAAATATTTTCTACTGATTCTAATGATGATGAAAATATTTTCATGTTCTCGCTGGTACCTCTGAATTTGCAATGTTTGAATGGTCAATCTTATGTATGGCAGTAGGAGATTTGAGCCGGTTCTAAGCCTCCCCCACCACTATGACGTATTAATTGCTTTTTTTCGTTGTTGTTTAGTGAAGTCAAGGCGATGTGACCTTGAAGTGTCTGGTGCATGGATCGTTCACAAATTTTTTTCCGGTTCTGAGTCTCCCCCCACCACTATGACGTATTAATTGCTTTTTGTTGTTGTTTAGTGAAGTCAAGGCGATGTGACCTTGAAGTGTCTGGTTCATGGATCGTTCAGGATTTTTTTCCATATGAGATTTTGTGTGTGTGTGTGTGTGTGTGTGAGAGAGAGAGAGAGAATGCACGGTACAGGATTTCATCATATGCTTGTCTATGTACAAACATACGTCTGCATACTTCGAAGATCCTCCAAGTAATGAATGCTCCATCGGTGTGAGGGCACCAAGTTAGTAGTGGAGTGACGTCACAGCAATAACCGTTCAACNATCGTGGTGGTGCTCATAACAATATCTATGTTTCATTATATCGATGTCATCTTGCAGATGCTTAGGCAACTTTTCCCAAACATATGCAATCTCATGTGCAACACATGCAAGTATCACTTCCTTAGGCATATTTGCAAGCATCACTTTATCCATTTTTTTCAAGGTACCATATTTTGAAAACATTCTAAGTGAAAACCCCATTCCCTTGATAGCCTCCCGATCCAGTTTTGGTGTTGAATCCATTTTTATTTGGAAAATTATTTAGAGAGAAACTGCAAGCACAAGTGACCACAGAGAACTGTATTAAATTTCTGTTGTCGATCATAGTTATATTTGATTTTTACATTCGAACATTTTCGAAAGAATCGAGTCAATTCCAATGGTGGGGGTAGATCTCCAAAACTATCGAAATATGAGAATTCTTTCCCACATTTTTTATATGCCACCCAATGTGTTCCTGGTCCACTTATTCCATCTAAATTAACAATAGCTGTCTCGTTTTGTTTTGGACCTGAAGAGGGTAATCTGTGGCGCATAAAAACACAACGAAAATGTGGAATTTTCATTTTTTGTGCATAATAACTGACCTTAATTTTACGATCACTTTCAATACGTCCGTATCGTTTGATGGTACACATTGAAGAATAAGCTAATAACATTTATATAGTCTCCAACCACGGTACGATGCGCATTGTAGAACAGAAAGAAATGTTTGCTGTAGATAATCTAGATGAGAAATTTGGGTGTGGATTGAATGGACAAAGGGTATTCAGACATGGTCCACTACTTCCATCATCAGTTCGAGGACTCATTATAGGACCTTCAAATTGTGGAAAGACGAATGCGATGATATCACTATTAACACATCCACAAGGACTGAGATTTAGTAATGTGTATCTCTATTCGAAATCACTCAATCAACTTAAATATCAGTACTTGCGAAATGTTTTGGAACCTATAAAAGGATTAGGTTTTTATACAGAAATG